ATAATAATAATAATAATAATAATAATAATAATAATAATAATAATAATAATAATAATAATAATAATAATAATAATAATAATAATAATAATAATAATAATAAAGTTGGAAGGTACCTTGGAGGTCATCTAGTCCAACCCCCTGCTCAGGCAGGAAACCCTATACCATTTCAGACAAATGGCTGTCCAGTCTCTTCTTAAAAGCGTTGGAGCATTCACCACTTCTGGAGGCAGGTTGTTCCACTGGTTAATTGTTCTAACTGTCAGGAAGTTGTTTTATAAACTATATTCAATTTTATATGAATTGGTTACTTAACAATTTTATTAGGTACATTCTTTTGATATTTTGCATTAAATATAAATTTCTAAAATTGATTTCTTTTTAAATGCATATTTCTGGACATATATTGTCCCAGAATAATTTTTTAATGGAGAGGTACAGTGCAAAATTCATTGGTGTTGGGTTGCTTTTGGTCTTGTTGATTAATCTGTGTCATCTATTGGAGCTAAGTAAATGAGCCTTCTCTGTCACTGCACCCATTATTTGAAATCTGTATGGCTGCCACCTTGTTAGATTTGGGGCGCCTAGATATTTGACAAAGAAACAAGTCTGCATGTTAATTTTTAGTTCATGTTGGTATGACCCAACTTTAATCCTCATGGCTTCCCTTTTAAGCCTCTCTCTCTCCCTCTCTCTTTCTCTTTCTCTCTCTCTCTCTCTCTCTCTCTCTCTCTCTCTCTCTCTCTCTCTCTCTCTCCCTCCCTCCCTCCTTCCCCCCCCTCTCTCTCTCCCTCCCTCCCTCTCTCTCTCTCTCTTTCTCTCTGAGTGTATGTGTGTGTGTGTGAGAGAGAGAGAGGACTCAAATTGCTAGTGAAATGAAGTTTGAGTTTTTTAGCCTTTAACTCTATAATTCCAATCTGATTTTTCTGACAACAAACCATACGCCTACATAAAAATATATTGATTGATCAAAATATATTTCAGCTTTTTCTTTTTCATTAAAATTGAAACCTTATAAAGCAATTCTTTTTAGTATGCAAGGAAGCATACTCCATTTTTATTGCTGTGTTGGTATCAAACTGTAGGATGATATCCTCTGCATATGGTAAAAATAAATATATTTTGAGTGAATTTTTGAGTGTTTTTTAAAATCTAAATCCTGTGCCACAATTGTTTTTCAGAACACATCTTGACTCATCAGCAGAACTGAGGTACTCCGTGGGCTCACTAGTTGATAGTCAACCAGATTATAGGTCTACTAAAGTGATAAGGAGACCTAGAAGAGGTCGTATGGGAATCCTAAGAGATGAACCAAAGGTTTATGTTTTGATCATTTTTTTCCTTTAATAAGATTGCACTCATAAGTACAGCTGACTTAAGACATTTTGCTGACTAAAGCCAAGGCTGGATTTAAGTTTTCATATCCCTTGGATACTTCTATAGATAATAGCTTTAATTATATACTGTACATTAGGTGGATTATATAATAGGATCATAGATTTTGTTTAATCATTTAATTGATAAGACCACATTTCTCAAACATATGACTGTTTTGTTATTCATATATTTAAAATGTAGAAAAAATGTGTTTCTGTATGTGCATGCATCCCCATGCATTTCTCATTTTTCAGTCATCTATTTGGGCCTAAAACCTTTTGGAAAACCCCAAAAGCTTCATATACTTAAGCACTGTGTTGTGCTCAGTGGACAATCTGGCCCTGTCTGAGTTCTCTCTGATAACTCTCGCTGAGTAAAAGTACATATTATCTGAAGGATATAAAACAGTTTTGATATTGGAGGGAGAGATAGGATTACACATTTTGGCCTTAAAATTATATTAATAATACAATTCTGATATGATATAATATCAAACATAAAACACAATTACAAATCAAATTATAATAAGTAATGTGATAGAACCATTTGCTATTTACTACACCTTTTGCTCTAGGCAATTTTCTCAGGCTTGAAACATTCTTCCATTGTTCTGTTTCTTTTACTGGATTGGAAGCCATAGATAGGACTTAATGGAGGTTCAGGTTTCCAGTATAGTTTCTGTTGTGTCCCGAGCCTGCAAAAGCAGGCTCGGGACGTTGCAAGAGTCCCGGGCATTTGCAAAAGCTGCCCGGGACCAGACTGAGTGGCGCCGGCCTTGCGCGCATGCGCAAGGCGGGAAAAGACCGCCTTGTGATTGGTTGGAATTGCCCGGGGATCAGAAGGTATAAATAGAGGCCTGCGTGCCTCTGCTCGGGTTGTTCGTAGATTG